TTGTGTTCATTACACAGAAGTCCTTTAGTGGTTGTTAAGTAGTGGAGCCAAATCCAGCAGGCTTCCTGCAGTTCTACTCTGATCCATCACTCAACCCTCAACAAGCTCATTAACCCTGACAGAACATGAGCTCAGCTGAGGAGGATGGATGAAGGTCCAGTACGACCCACTGACTGCCTCTGTGTTCACAGCAGCATGGTGTGTGTTCCCGAATGACAGTAGTGCAGAACTGGGAACTGAGGTCAACGGATATCGTTATGTCAGTTTGTTCTGTTTGGGAACATTTGATTTTGCTTGCATGCGTACACATTTCCAGTGGTGCATACATGCTGTGAAAATTTGATTAAAGTTAGTCTCCTGTGAATTAGATTCATATGTAACCTTTCTGCATTAGTGATGTATGCTCAGTGACAGCTTTTAGTGCCAGTGGAGGACTGGTGTGATCATTATGACATTCGAGGAGCAGTGAAATGTGACTGGAATGTAAGTGATCTTATAAAATGTTTGCCTTTTAGAAGTGGTGTCCGGGGTTTATGCCCTGTCTTACACAATTTCTGATCATTTTTCTGAATAAGCCATGACCATGATCTTCTGATCATTTTTCTGAATAAGCCATGACAATCATCTTCTCTCTTTTAGGCAGTTTGGATAACTGGTCTGAACAATTGTCTGCACAGACTTTTTTTCAGTCTGTGATTTGACAATGAACCAGATGACCAGAAGATGAGAGTGTTTGATAAAAGAAATTTAGGATCCAAAATGCAGACAGACACAAAAGAGTTTGGTGGGAAAAAAGGTAATTTAATAAAGAAAACCATCTTACAATACAGGCAAAACAGAACTAAGGAATAATGCGGAATCCAGGTAAAACTCAGGAACACAAAACAGAAGCTCTAGGAAACACGGGAAACATGGCCAGAACAAAGACAGATGAATTGACAAAGACAGAGGGCCATATATTACACCCAGCACAAAGCAGTGTAAAGTGCGACGCAAGTGTCTTTGCTAGTTTCAGATGGACGCAGTTGTCATTTTCTCAACCAGCTCCCATGTTGTTTAAATGGCAAATACAATTGCACCTATCTGTGCGCCCATGGGCGTGTTGGTCTTAAAATGAGGTGTGGTCAGGCGCATTGTTGGCACATTGCTGTCCTGAGACAGTGGAAAGTGATTGTGCAATTGACCAGCAAAAACCTGGTCTTAGGTCCAGTGGCACATGTTATTTTAAGGGCGCACTGTTAAGAGAGTAATATGTGCCAACATACACAGGCGCAAAGATCGCATACACTCTGCCTGTTACACGCAAGCAGAATGAACTTTAGATGCTCTTTCATGTTGGATAAGTCAGATGAAACATTACAATACAGCCTCAAAAGGTCGGAGCTTCTTTGTGACTTGTTTATAGTAGTGTGTTCCACATTCTTCACTTAAATTTGTCCACCGCATTTCATGATGAACTGAAGATTTACACTTCTCATCATATTAATATAAATATTTCTAACGTTGTGATTTGTGCTGTTATTTCACTGTAGCACAGAGGTGATGCATGCGTGTGCCAGGACTGGGCACACTGGTTAGTCACAATATGTGATCAACTGACCGCAATCACTGTGCCATTTTAATGGCAATACACCAGGGGCAGCGCACCTGGCTTTTAAAGGGAATGGGAGATGGCACTGTGATTGGTTTATTGGATGTTGGATGAACACTCTCATGAATAATTAAGAGATATAGATATAACCCTTTTGAACATGCAGTCAGTTCGAACTGCGAGCTGCAGAAGTTCAACCACACAGCTGCCATGCACACACATGTTCCTGCCATTACTCATGCTGTTTCTGGCATCAAAGGTGAACTAGAGAAAAAAATAGAAGAAAAACATAGTAGAAATTAATGAAATGAAATAAGCTATATAAATCTGTCCTGAACTACTGAGCTTTTTAACCCTAAACCTCAGTTACACCATTTCTGCACAGCAAAATTGGGAGTGTTAATTCAACTCCCAGTGTTAATTTTAACACTTTTTCTGAGTTTATATAGTTCTCATGGATTTCGAGTTAAAATTTCACTTTGAAAAGTGTTAATATTTTAACTCTTTAGTGTTAAAATTTGACACCCTTGGTGTTGTTTTATGACACCACATAAGTGCACTTTTAACTCGAAATTGTGTTATTCCCTTTCACTCTGAGTGTTAATTTTAACATACAAAGTGTTATTTTATGACACATTAAAGTGTATTTTTAACCCTAAAATTGTGTTATTTCCTTTCACTATTAGTTTTAATTTTAAGTGTTATTTTATGATACATTAAAAGTGCATACTGTGTTTACTAGCCGTACATACAAGTAACCAAATCTGAAAATTATTGTAGTCACCTGCAAGGCTACAGAAAGTTATTATAAATTCAAATGTGTTGACCAGCAACAGTGATCAAGTAATAACATCATTCAAACATACATGTCTTTTTGTTTTGTTTTTTTTTTATTCAAAAAAATAAATAACTTCCCAGCACCATAGGAATTAGCACAATAAGATCAGGCACAAGTTAAACATTTACAAATAAAATAATGGCACAATATATTGGCTCTCATCTTCACCATAACCACTTTGTAAGTCAAAGGCCTTATAAATCACAAGACTATCTGCTTTAACAACATCTTTGTCATTACTTTCAAATACTTTGTAAGCATGAAAATGTTCATTGAAATGGTCAACCACAAGCTTATTTACAAGGAAGCAGATAACACTGTCAACAAAAAAAAATTCTATTCTGCAAAACACAGGCATGTCATGTTGAATCTCACTGCAAATTATTAGTCCTGCCCTGTACTCTGTCCCACTGATTGTAACCCAGTTAGTTGCATGGATGTCTTGCGATACAGACTAAACATGCAAAGCTCGAGCCAAAACATCTCCATAGACCTCATTGTCCACATTAATAGATTTCATTGGTCCATACTCAATACATTTTGAATGTGATGTCTCCCAATGACATGCAATAGACACTTGATGTTTTTTTGCAAGACTTTGGTATGTTTTTTGAAGTTTTTAAGGGTATTTTTGAAAATCCTGTTTGACCTCAAATCTCATGCTCCACATATGTATTAGTGGTCCAATTTTTTGGATACAAGATCGATAGTGTATCATAAAGTGATGTTTCGGGATCAGGTTTCTATCAGGATACAGCGTTTGAACAACTCATGATCTTCCATTATCAAATGCTTGAGAAGTAGTCATGCCAAGTGTAACAGATGGAGAAAATATGTTAATTATCTGCAGTAAAAGCAGCAGCAAAAAACAGTTTGTTTCCTTCTGGCACAATGTCACCAAAAAGCAAAGGAATGTTTCTTACTAGACAAAGAGCCCTATATTATTGCCACTACTGTCCAAGTTAACCCTCGATTTCGAGGTCGATTTTTGCATTCCACATACCCATAGTCAAAGGCATAAATTCTAGACAACAGGTCAGGTTTCGACAAAACATTTTCTGAGAGATATTCAAACAGTAACTTCAGCTCAAACTGAGCCACGCCTTCAAGAATGTCATGCATAATGTCCAAAGAAAAATTATGACTAACATGAAAGAACTGTAGGCTGTTAAGACTCGAGTTTTTTTTTTTTTTTAGACCAAACACGTAACTTCTGTGGGTCTGACTGCAACTCATTGCAGTGCATTTCAAAAAGTTCCTTTCCACGCAAGATTATCTTGGGATCATCCTCATTGTAAAGTATCTGGGCATCATCTTTTTCTATCAAACATAAACGACAAAAATAGCGTCCAATGAAAGACTCTAAATCCCAGAATTGCGTGCATGCCTAAATTGTCCCCAGTTATCTGACATATGGTGCCATGGACTTTTTCAGCAGAAAATGGCAAATCAAGGCCACAACTCTCAAGTGTTTTGATGTCATTAATCAGTGGCTCAAGAATAGGATTAAAGCCATATTTTTTCAAATCTTCAGTGTGAAACAATGCAACCAAATGAATATTCATCAAGGCAGAGTTGAACTTTGGTGGCAGATTTCTGAGCACAAAATACAGAACGCCTATTTTGTGAACACCACGTTTTGAACCCAGTGGGTTAGCGGTCTCAAAGTCGTCATAGAACAACTGAATTTGTAAAGAATTCTGGTGTTTGGAGAACAACGGATGCGTCTTAGAATAACTTCCATCACAAAAGTCTTCGTATCTGTCAGGTCTTGATAAACAAGTTTCCCCAAGCAGTTTACAAATATCAGCATTTCGGCACATGAACTTTATTGTTTCCAAAATTGGTATGTAAACGAAAGTATCGTTCACTGGGACTTGATCATAAGTACCTGTTTGTTTATTTTGCCTTGTATCATATCGAATTCCTAGAAATTTTTCGACTGGCACTCCACAATACCCCATTTCTTGTTGAAATAATTCAATATTTTACTTTCAGTATTGAAGTTAATAAATGGGTTTTCAAAAGTCTCAAGATCTTTTTCCAATGTATCTCTTACAGGATTATCTTTAGGCACAGCAGACAGTACTTGCTGCTTAACCTGAGAGTGCAGTCCACTAGCAAGTTCTTCCAAATCACCAACAACTGATGAAACAACACTATTTGCTATGCCACTTCCTTGTAGTTTAGCAATAATTGAAGCACAAATATTTTCTGTGTTCTCTTTGTTTCTTTGACCTGATCCATTGTCCTCAAAACACTCAGACTCTGGGTTCTGCATGACACTTGTTCCAGCAACTTCTGAGGTATCTCGGAGCACGTGTAAATTAGTTTGAAATGATGCTGGCATTGCTGTATCCCCACTTTGACTAGAATCCTTCTGATGAGAACTAATTAAAATGTTTTTTAAAACCTGAATGTTGAAAACTGACGCCTACAACGATCTTGTGCACAAACTAACTTAAACCTGGTGCTAGGATAAAAACTGTGATCAAGTCTTAGATGAGAGATCAAGGACTGGCAGGGATCATGCACAGCCTGACAAATGAAACACTTAAACATTTAAGTACTTCAGTTGAAAACTTTAGTACGAAACTCACGAACTCTGGGAGACTCATTTGTTGTTGCTACATCAATATTGTAGACTGTTGTTTGCATGAAGGTGAAGAGCTGGCCCAGGTACTCATCGTATGACAGGTTGAACACGTAGTGGGATTTAAACAGTTCATCAAATGCACCCAAAGAGCTAGTGGCTTGGCATGGGATGAGCTGTTTGTCCACAACAATGTAGAAGGTGTCAATCCTGTTCCTGGTTCGACCAACAGCAAGGATGTATGGTTGTCTGCCATCTCTTCCGCAAAGATGTTCATCCAAGCTGCAGCATGACTGAAAACAGAAAGATAACACCTTACACTGTCAGGTTTTAACTGCTCACTTGGATCTGTACACCAGAAACACGTGAATTGTTAAACAAGCCACGACAAAGTGAGTGTGTGTGTGTGTGTGTGTGTGTGTGGAATTAATACACATAAAATACTAGCTAATTGGATTAAAAAACATACCTTGTGAAAGTGCAACATTTTGTCCACTGCATCACTGGGGCTTATCTGGGTCCTCTTCCATCCAGCTGTGGGTGGCAGGAGATGGAGAAGGAGCAGCAGAGAAGCCATATGACTGTCCCAGGCTATCAGGAGGAAATGGGGTGAAACAAGCCATATTAAGTTAGAACGCACAAAGTAACAAGTATTTGTTGTTAGGAATAAAAATCAATCAATCATGTCAATTAGCTTACCGGTGTCATCGTTCTCTGCCAGTTTCTCAGCAGCTTTTAGAAGTCGGCACAGCTCAACTGACTGAGTTAGGTGTTTGGCCTCATTGATGACCTTGGGCCTGAATGTTGTGTCCCACTTCTCAAGCATCTTGGAGGCCGTTTCAGGTCCAAACAACAGAAGGAAGTCTTGATTCAGCTGTTGATCATATAAGCATGTAAATAAACAAGATTCAAAAAGGTCAGAGAATTGTACTTACATTCAAGCAACAAAACAGTGAAGTGTAAATAAATGAAATGGACAACTCACCAGCCCTTTGACATCTAAAAACCATGGAAATGTTTTAAAGACATCTGTGGTTCTCTGTGGGTAATGCACTAGGTCTTGGCGATATTGAAAGGTCATCTTCATCTTCTGAAACACACTTGCTTCATCCTGAGAGTGAATGAGAAATGATATGGCTTCTCTGCAGGCATCTCCATCAAGCTGCTCAAGCAAAGTGGCAGCCAGTCTTCTGCGCTTTGGTCCTTGTGCTTGAGCCACTGTAGCTGTCTTAGCTGGTCTTTTTACTGTATTCCTGGACATAGTCTTAAGGCACCATGCTAAATATCCAGTGCCTTTCTCCGCATCATAGAAGTGCTCCTGTTAAGATATTTATAAAACATCATTACGAAAGTCTTTTTTGTATCCTAATGACAATCTTTACAGCAGAGGGGAACTTTGTAGCAGTAATTGAAACTGTAACTCAAGTCTCAACTATTTTGTTAGACTTATGTGGTGTCAATTATTTTTTACAAATACAAGAAGGTAGGAATGTCAACACTATTTTGATAAGTATCTGTGATCAGCCATCATTTGACCTAAAATCCCAAAACCACTGTCAATAAAATCCGTGTGTTTTCTGGAAGTAATCTTTTTTTTTTTTTTTAAACATACACACATACAACACACAACTTACATAGCCCTTTGGAGAAAAGGGATCCTTTAGTAAAGGGAAGAGTGTTGTAATTCCCAGGGCATACTTTTCCTTGTGTTTACGGGAAGGCATCCTCCTTTAGAAACAACACTTCAAGTCAGTCACCCACTTGCTATGTTTTCAATGCAATGTATTTTGAAAATCCACTATAATATATCTTAATACAATGTTTTCAATCTAACAATTCACTTAACACTCACCCATGGCTTTCAGTCATATGGCTAGCCAATATGTTGACAAGCTGTCTCCAGGTGCGGTGAGTGAGTGACTTTTCTGCCTTGTACTCTTCGATGACATCCTCACCCCCAGGTTTGCAAAGCAAGGCATTATATACCATCTATTCATGAGAGAAAATAAAGTTTTCTGTGTATAAATCCATCTTTCAGGATAACATCATTTTAACAATGTACCACAAGATAAAGAGTAAATGTTAGGTTCACTGAATGTAGGACCACAAGATGCAGACTGCGGACACTGAATCAGATGAGAATAACAAATTTATTGTGGATAGAACCAGAAAGGGGGCTGAGGGTCGATGTGGATCCAGGCTGTGGAGATTCCAGTGGGTGGGTAGCTGAAGCGGAGCTGGTTGACGAGAGGAATGGAGCCAGAAAGCGGGATACGGGAACTAGAGACCGGAGAATACAGGTTAGAGCCAAAATCACAAAACATCTACTAAGTAGTCGGACAGTAGTCAAATGTTTACCACGGTTGGGTAACGGAGGATCTGGCGATGAGTGGAAGAATGAGCTGGTCTTTTATCCTGCAGCAGTGTAGGTGGCTTGATTATGAGATGAGGAGCAGGTGAGTGATTGCAATGGTAGTACAGCTGATTCCAGTTGACCTCTGGCACCGCCCCAGCTCCAGACAGAGACACCCACAACAGGAGAAAGGAAAAGCATAGGAAAACATAGAAAAAACAGAACACAGGACCGTGACAGTAAAAGTTAAAATCACTGGATCAGGAGGGTTTTTACACACAAAAATGGATCAGCAATTTCAGCAAAACAAAAAATTCTAACCAATTGTTTAGCTGATAATGCAACTGCAATATGATTTGGGAAAAAGCAATGTTGTTTCTTATCTGCCTTAGATTACTAAGTACAGAGCTATTAGCCAAACCTATTCATTCTAAATGTCACAAATACTCTGACGAGAAACTGATTTAGTATGACACTTTATGATGATCAACAATGTGAATTACATCTGCTGCCCTTCAGTACCTCTTTTGCAGCCTCTGACTCAGAAACCTCTGTGGTAGGCCTGGGTATGACTTGGCTGGATGTACGTCTGCCTATGGGAGTCCCATGTTCTATTCTACTGGAGTCGTCATTGTCACTTGAAGAAAGTGATGTGTTGGTATCCGTGAGGGAGGTTGATGTGGAATGATCTAAAGGAGAGAAGTCTAAAAGAAATAACAGAACTGTGACATGCCTGAAATGTAGCATTTGGTGCTTTCCCAGACACAGGTTAAAAATCATCATCAAATCAAACCTGATCCCACATTTCCAAACTGTTTTTGCAATTAGATACAGATCTTTCTTTAAAATGTAATTTTTGATAATGTTATTTGTTATAGTAGCCAAGGCAGAAACATGACATCTCAAATGATATTTGTGAAGCAGAAAAACCCTGAACATTGATTACAACTAATTTTATACCTAGACATACCTTCCTCTGAAATTCCATCTTGTGTTGTTGGACTTGGACCAGGATCAAGCTGTATCTCAAGAATGATGTTTTCCTCCAGTGTCTGAGCTGGGTAGTTAGGGTTAATAGATTTCATGTGATCAGAATCAGGTTACAAAAAATAACTACACTTTCAAATATGATAAGAAGAAAATACAGTTAGATTATAAAGCAACACTTAAATCTTTAAAACACAGCTATTGTCAAGACATGAAATAGTATATAGACTTATGCCAGAGATTCTTTTTACCTGATTGGTTGATGATCATGTTCCAATGAATAAAAGTAAGACACTCCCACTTTTTACTGATGATGACTTAACCAAAAATCTGATTAACCAATATCAATTATTTTATGGATGACAGAGAAATGTATCTACCTGCATCAGGAATTCTGTCCGTACTGTCAGGCATAAATCCAGACTGGCCTCTATCAGTTCAGAAAAGATGTCTTCCTCGACTAATGTGTTGGTTTCATCAAAAGCATCAAGTTCGGTAGCATGCAGGAAGCCCAAACTTGTATTTGACTGTAAGATAACCATGAAACAGATGTAAATTGATACCCAATTGGAAAACCAAAATTAAGCCCATCCTAAATACATAAATCCTTGTGTTTATTTGTTTGTGAAGGCAACTTTGAGATGGCTATCACCTTGAGCAATGAAATCCAAAAAGGTGAACCCGACAGCAATCGGATGTACTTCTTGTATTCTGGTACAACATTGCCACATCTTTAGACTGCACCTTTGTAGAATATGTGGAGAAATGTGGCTGTTAGAACAGACTTCATCAGGTTTGTAATTTTGAGACTGAGATGGACGCATTGTGGTCCCTGGCCTGTAGCAGTTGTTTCAGCCGCCACTCTCGGTTTGGGCCCGCCACAAGTCTTTCACAGTAAAAAAAAAAAAAAAAAAACTGCCGTCTCTCTCGTATGCAGTCGCACCACATGTGCACACACACATACACACACAGATATGGGTGCATGGAGAGGTCACGCTTGCCCGCTAGAAAACGGTAAATGCGATATATCACACTAATTGTAGTGTTGAAATTACAGCCGAGTGAATGTTGTCCCTGCCTGATTAAACAGAGACGCCACCACCCCTCCCCCACATTGTTGCACAGTTTTAAATTCGACAAAAAACTCACCATCAACGTTAACATTAATCCACCTCACCTTAATACATTTAAAAACATTTATTTTATCGTAATACTTAATATTTGGCCGGATACGTTGCCACTGGATAACTTTTGTTTCAAGCAACCACTCCTTGCCAGCAAACGTGAATGAATTTAATTAACAGCCTGCCTCAACCAGCGTCAATAAAAACTCAGTTGTTTTACACCCCATGATTTTATCACGGCTTCATACAGCGATTACCATCCGGTAGACGTAAATATATTTGGTTCTTACCTTCTTTAAGCCGTGTAACGTTCATCCACACAATCCACACAAGGTTTTTCTTTTCCGTCGAGTGCAAAAAGGCGGGCTGCGCACGTCCAAACTGGATGTTGTGATCAACTCCGCCAGGAGTGAGTGCAACTCAGTCACAGGTGTAAACATTTAACTCGCTTAATTGACAACGCTCGCAGAGCTTTATTATCACTACAAGTGTTAAAACAACACCAAAATCAACACCCACCGACTCATATTTATTAACACTGAAAAAACAACACTACAGATTTTGCTGTGTGCTTAGGTTATTTCCATAAGAACAGTTTATCATGTGACTCTGACTCAGACAACACAGGTTTAAACCCATGTGAAACTATGTGTGAAACTTGTTCTATGAAGTCTTGAATGATCATGCTCCTGCGTATACCTGTGATCTGCTAACTCCTGATAAGCCTGATTGCTACTTATCCTCTGGCAGGGCCCTCACTCAGGGTGACAGGGACCTTGCTATCTGGGCCCCTCTGCTGTGGAACTTCCTGTCTGGGTGTGAGACAGATGGACTCTATGGAAAGGGACACAAGACTTATCATGTAGATCACTTTAGGCACAATGGGGAAATATTTTCATATTATGTAGAGGTCGTCTATTATGCAAGCAGGGACTCTTACTATGTTTTTAAGGTCAAGCTAATCAAATACAATATCCATAACTATTAAACTTCATGTTAATACTTTTATGGCAGAACTGAATCACAAGACTTGTGAATGAGTTTTCAACAATGTAATTTACTCAACAGATTTAAAAGGATTCTGAGGCTGATCAACTGACACTTTCACTTACTCATCATTTTGATTAGTTTTGAGCTTTGGGAAGTGATTGTATAAAATCCAATTCAATCGAACAAAACAATCTTCCACTTTGCCATTACTTTATGCCTCATTTGATGTTAGCCAAATGATAGCAGAGTGGCCAAATGAATCACAGACATAGCACCTGCTCATGATAATGATATTTGTCCTCATTAGGATGCTCAGTACCTCCTTATTCTCACCTGCTCAACATATTCAATCATTCTTTCATTTGGCCAGTAAGTGATACCTCTTCCTCCAGGTCTGTTGAAGCTTTAATGAAATACCTGTCTTATTCAATCTCTCTCTCTTACACTGATTATTTCATTTGGTGTGGTCAGTAATAGCCAGGAAGGTAATAATTACATTCAAATATTAATCTCTTGTTGGGACAGAGTGATGAATCAAAACCCTTCACTTGTTCTTTTTCCAAAGTCCCTTCTATTTGATTGCTTTCTCATATCCTCACCCCTGGGTGACCCAGCAGATTACACTGACAAATTATTGTTATTCCCCTTCACATGAAAGAGGTGGGATGTGAGGCAGGGCTTTGAACAACAGTGTTCACTGGGTGGAAATGAATGGAGGTTGGTGACGACCCAAACATACTAACCAGGCTGTGTGTGTGCGTGTGTGTGTGTGTGTGTGTGTGTGTGTGTGTGTGTGTGTAACAGATTGGTTATATTTGTGGTTGGTCCGTGCAACTGTGTTTCTATGTGTGTGCTTGAGATGGGCTGAGAATGTATATGCTGAATGTAGTGTGACAACATTTGCATTCATTACAGTGTGACGATACACAACGAGTTTTATCTGTATTTTTCAGTCGAGACAGGTATGCTCCTATTTTAATCAATCCAGCTGTCAGGACGAGCCACAAAACACCATGCATTTTACTTGTGCTATATAGTATATCCGTAAACGTCACCTGAAGCGCACACCCAATGGCATAGATGGGCATGAGTCACCTGTGTCTGCCCTAGGCCAGCCTCCATCCCATAAATCAAAGTCGGACCACCTACTGTAAAGATAATTGATTAGGGATAGTAGATACTCTATGTTACGCCCAGTATGTTTTTGTTAGTTGCTAGAAAGCTGCAGCTGTCATTTTTCCATCCAGCAACCACTTTGTTGAAATCTGAGTGCCAGTGGGCATGTTAGTCTTAAAATGAGGTGTGGTCAGCGTTCTTTCTTTCTACCTGGTAAATCCACGACAGTGCTTCCCAGTCATCACCAAAGGTTTATTTACACCTCTCATTATATAACATAAAAAGTTCTAACATTTTGATTTGATTTCAACAAAAATGGAACCCAAATATTATTATTCCAAATTATGATAAAGAGCTACAATGTGATTTGCATCCAAATCACACCTTCACAGTGAATGTGTTATCTTTAGGCTTTCTTAATTTTGGTTTACTATTCTCAGTGAGTTTCCTCAGTACAGTAAATAAACAAATGTTCTCGGGGCTAAAAAGTGGTGTTGCTCAGGGTAATAATAATTTAATAAAATTATATTCTTGTAGATTTACATACAGAGATATTCTCTATATTATAATAATATTAATCATAATAATAATAATAATTATTATTATTATTATTATTATATGTTGTTATTTTTTTAGCATTTTAAGGAAAATAATGGATGTGGTTAAAAGTGCTTGATTAACCCTAACCCTTGATGGCAGATGAATAGAAGTCTGAATCAGTCATAGAATAATTGATGTGATTTGAATGGGTTTTGATGTGACTTTGACCTCTAGTTGCCCACACCGGGCAATGGCTTTCTCATTAATCACACATAAATGGTTGTCACAGCTGGATTCTACACTCATCCAACATGGACAGCTGCTGTCACCTGGTTGAAGGATGGAAAAGGGTAGAGCAGTGAGGCTGAGCAGACAGATGGGTGAGTGGGTACCCAGGTGGGTTACATGGGTCTAAATGGTTCTCTCATGTTTTATCATTTCAATCAAGTCCATCAGCATCTCCATTTTTTAAACTTAAATATTGACCATTTATGATATAAACATTCTACAAACACGTACCAGAATGTTTCCAATAATATTTCTTTAACTAGAATCCCCTCCTCATGGTTGTTTCATCCATCAACCAGCCAAGTTATAGGAAATATGGTCACAACCTGTGCTTCCTGAGTTACAGCATTCAACAATGGCCAGAAGTGTTTTTGTAGAACATTATGATGTTATTGTGATTTCATCAATTCATCCTAATTGACATTTGAGTTAAATTACATCATAATTAGCGTCACAATGTGACAGATGTGATGAAATTCTTTCTGGGCGTACCTGATATATTGCATTCACAAGTATGTGAGGTCACCATGACCTTGAACTTTGACCTTTTACCACCAAAATCTATTCAGGTCATCTTTAAGTCCAAGTGAATGTTTCTGCATAATTTGAAGAAGTTCTGCCAAGGCATTACTGAGATATTGTGTCCACAAGAATGGGATGGACAGATGGACGGATGGACAGACAACCCAAAAACAATATGCCTCCAGCTATGGCTGTCGTGCGCAGGAGGCATAAAAACTCCTCTATACAGTCTTACCTAATGAGACAATCAAACCGTCTGCATCTTTTTTTCTATAGAGGTGTACAACAGTGGCCAACACCTACCTACACCTCACCATCATTATCAGCTTTTAAAAGAAAGTCAAAAGAAGCATTAATAATCATCCATATTGGAAAAAGGGTAGATTATGATCAGTATCATCTAATGACTTTTGCCATGCTAAATTGCGAAGCTGAGTGCTCATCGAACAGTATGTCCACGGTGCCATGGTTAAATTTGATGTTTCACCATGAAAGGCAAAGTTGTTGTTACTGATATA